CTGAATGTACTTTAAGCCTAATTCTATCGTCTTAATCCTTTTAACATATATACTTTATAAAAAATAATATTTTATAGAAAGTAAAAATTAAGAATAAAAATATACATCCATACAGTAAATTTAATGAAATAAGGAAAAAAAATATACTTTCTCAAGTCTCACCCCCATGGAAAAGGCTAAAGAAGTACTCTTCCTATCATTAATATATGACCTAATTGAAGAGTTGATATTAGTTTTATAAGTAAGACCTATCTATATGTTTACTTTTTAAAAAAAAAATAACCTTACTAATTTCACTTAACAATAATTAAGTAGAAGAGAGGATGAGTGAATTAAGAAAGATACTCATAGTATTTTTTAAAAAAAATCATATTAACTAATTTAACTAACATAACTAATCTACTAAAAGTATTTTATTTCATGTTATAATTATAGTGCGTGTTTTGAGAAGAATGAAATAGCAGTCCTTGTTGCCCAAGTTTTAGCTTTTTCCAAGTATTGATTCCACCATCTTTTTTGTATATTCCTTTCATTAATTCTTCTTTCTTCGTCTCTCCTCTGTATTCAACGCGTAACTTTCACTTGGATCGCAGAGAGATCCCGGAGATTTATCCACAGAGAGACCCTACATGCTTTCCAAGTTTTCCTCCCATTGTCTTGGCTTTTGAGGCCGTTTATGTAACTCTTTTTTTTTTGTATGGTTATTTTTTTGGCCAAAACTTTTGCATGCTTATTAATCCCACACATAAAAATGGAATTTTAAAAGGGAGAATTACAATGAGGTCCCAAGTAATTAAAACAAGTTGTCATTCTCACTGTAAACTTGTTATTTCAACTGCTCATGTTACTTGGACTACTTGTGTACTGAATGTAACCTTTTAAAAAAATAAACTGTGATAACTTTCAAAATGGTTTTAACGGGTCAAAATATGTAAAAGTTACTATTTATCGTTTTGAAATCCAACAAATATTTTTTTTTATGATTTTCCAAAATGGCTCCATTTTCTGTTTTAAAACAAATGATAGGTCCTGGAAGCAAAACCTACAGATCAAATTTATTGGCTACTACCGATACGACGATTTTGAAAAGTTAAATCTACAAACAAGATATAAATGGAATACCATCATCTTGATTTATTTTAGGATAGATTTATATATTTTTTTCTTTTTCATAAGATATAACATGCACGTAAGTAAAATATTACTTGTTGAGCAATGAAAACATTACTTATCATGTTTTTGAAGAAAATATTTGCGGCAAACCTTGATTTTAGTTTCCCTCATTTTTTCAACTAATTTTTTTTTTATCAAACTTCTCAGCCAAAAAAACAGAGGAGTTCTTTCACACAATTCAACACCATAATATCAATGACCTATTTTAGCATATAAAAACAAACTCATTTCGGATGCACAAGGTGAGATTCACACTCTTATTAAGATTTGACGTCATTGTTATTTTAACAATGCTAATTTTTTAAATTTTTATTTAAAAATAAAGGCTTTTTTTTTTTGGTTATATCTGATATCCTATACATACAAGGAAGAATCTGCTGTTGATCATGGCAAGACAACAAACGTTTTTTGCCACAAAAAATTGCATTATGTAAAACAGAGGGATCAAGGGTACAGGTAAATAGTCCCGGGTCTATTACAAGCCATAGAACCCAAGAAAGATCGATGATACACAGCAATTCTTTTACTTAATTATTAGAGCATCATAATTTCCAAAACCAGCAACAACAAAAAAAACCAACTAAAAAAACGGAAGATACACCACACGACTTTAAATTATAGATAGCTCTCTGCGCTTTCCATCATTGCAGACTAGATATTGCCATCATTCTGAATAACCCTTGCTAATCCATGCCCGGAGACCGCAGCAAGAGTAAGTTGAAGCCAAATTCTCATGCATCAAATGGTAGTTCAGTGCTAGAATTTGACATAAATGGTATATAAACCATTGAGTTTATATTTTCATCTGATTGCAAAAGCCTTTGAATCAATGAATCTATAGATTCAGATTCAATTGATTGAGAAGGTATTTGAACCTCAAGGTTCACAGCTTCATTTGAGTGAAAAAATCTTTGAATCAATGGATCTTCTACTTCATTTGATTGGGAAAACATTTGAACTAGTGAGTCCATAGTTTCATTTGATTGGGAAGGTATTTGTGTCAACAAACTTATAGTTTCATTTGACTGGGAAGATACTTGAGTGTTTGAACTCATATTAGAAAAACAATATTCCTGAAAAACATAACAACCAAATATTAATTCACTTGTTAACTCACATACACCTTGTAAACTTTAACAATTCCTCTACTTACTCTTGAAGTCATAGACATATTCGCTTGATTTTCATCTTCAAGCATCATATTACTCGATTTCTTCTTACGAAGAGTTTTTTCTTTTGTTTTCTTCTCGTTGTTTTTCTTTAACCAGCATAAAACATGAGTCCTCTGTAAATTGAAGTATAAAATTAGAAATGATAGTATTAACGATTTTGATTGAAAAAAAAAGTATTACACCAAGAATGGATGGCATCAACATTTACCAATAATAAATATCAGTTACCAAACAATGAGAGACATGAAAAGAGTAATATAAAACCAATGACACTCATGCTATTCACCCTAAAAGTTAGACCGGATACATATAACCATAGCACAAAATAGATAGAAACATGATATATACTTTTTATTTTCTAAGAATGTATGTAGAGACATCTCATAAGCAAATCAACATGTAATTTACCTCATGTACTGGTAGGGTAGCATCATGATATTCATGAATTACCCAATTAGTTTTCTGAGCACGAGGTTCGTGCTTTTCATAGAAAACCAGATTCTTCTTGGTCCCAATGACATTGTTAGTGTCTTGATCTATGATTTTACCGCCTCTACCGGTAACTTTCCAGAAGCCACGCAATGTTCTCCTGTCCCGCAGGGTACTGTTAGAGTACTTGTAATTGTAGGGACTGAAGAAAAAGCACTCCGAATCGTCGAACTTGTTCGCCAAAAGCGCTGGAGAAGAACAAGAAAGCAAAATCAAACGCCATAGCATAGGAAAGATGACGAAGTCTAAGAAATTTGAAAGAAGAATTTAAATTAAAATACCTAGTATATCCCCGGGTTCAAGCTTGCAGGCATCAATCTCCGGGATAGTGTTGTGAACGGAAGAATCACGGGCCTTCAATTTGCGGCTGAGGTAGTGAGCAACGAGCTCTTTCTCGGTCGGACGGAATCGGTATCCCACCGGCACACGTCTCTTCGTCGGAGCTGAATTTGCCATGGCTGTCTCGCCGGTAACAATACAGCGTCGGAAAGGGCAAGATGCCTAAGGAGATTGAGAGAGAGAGAGAGGGTGGTTGGAGGTGGCTATTTGGATTCGAGCGAGTACTGGGCTTATCACTTCAAGCTAGTAGCAGAGGCGCACCTCTTCTTAAATAATGGAGAGATAAATTACAATAAGTTGAAAATAAACAGACCATAATGTGTGAGGACCTGTAATATTCGGACACGTAAAAAGTACAAAACCGCGTAAGACTGGAGAGAATCTTTTGGTCTTTGGAGTCTTCCCCACAATTACACAGCAATTCACCTCTATTTTCTTTGTTCCCAGTCAGTTGCAAGTCTTAATCACAGTAATAACATCTCTGCTACCTGAAGGTTCGGGAATAGTGTATTAAAAATTAAAAATATAAAAATAAATAAGAAAACTTGAGGGATTTGACAAAAGTATCATATTTGAGTATATTTATTCTGTTTTTTTTTTTACGGTGTTATCTTCTCACTCATCTAACAAAGCATAAAATTTAATTTTCACTCTATTTCATGCCAGCTTTTTCATTGTAAATTCGCACAATTTTTATCGTTACATCAAGGAATATGAAATCATAATAACTCTGACAATACATAGTATATAATTTCATTATTATTATCTTAATTTTCAACATGAAATGAAATGGCTATAAAGCGTTCGATCTGGTGATAAGTTTAGCAAATATCTTGTGATTCCAAATATTCTGAAATGAATAAAAAGCCAAGCCTTGCTTCCAAAGTTTTAGAGTTGTAGGCTAGGGATGGACCCTAGCATCTTTTCTGATGCTCTTCTTTATTATGGTTTGTTATGCTCCCCACTAGGACCTGCTCCCTGACCTCTATCATTTCACTGGTCCATGAACCACGAAATGACCATCAAACGTAACTTCTGTTTTGGAATTCCTTATTCCCGTAGCAGATTGTTCAATTCTTTTTTTTTTTAATGATAAAACCCCATTTGCGTTTTATTCCTATCCTTAAACGCGATAGACAGGTGTTTTTCTAAATAAAATTTGAGAGATTTCTATAAAAAAATCTTTAAATTTAAAACTTTAAGTCTTTTTTATTTCACTTTAATAACAATTGATAATATTTAAAAAGTAAATGATAATACATTTTTATAATCATTTTAAAATTTCAGAGGTATTTCTTTATGATTTTTTTCATAAAATTTTTGTACACTAACTAACTATATATATTATTTTCTCAGCACTTTAATATCAATCATCTGTTTGGTATACAATTAAGGAAAAGCATATGTCATTTTGAATACCCAAAATGACAGGTATATATATTATTAAGTTGTGGTTAGCTTGATTATTATTACTGTTTTTAACATTATTCATTTTCATTTTTATTCCAAGGTATGTATATTTTACATTTGACCGGTACATTACAAATGACTTATTTGGAATAGTTTATAAGAGGTTTTTTTATCATGATTTACAAGATAGAAGGTAAATAAGTGAGAAAAATTTTATCTCAATTTATATAAAATATTTTTATAAGTTATTTTAATCGTGATACCAAATAGGGCCAAAATCTGTTTCTTCCTATCAGAAGTTTATACCGAGGAACATGGAAAGGGGGAAAACATTAATCTCTTATAGCCAAAGGAAATAGTATTCATGCAAACATAATATGATCAGGAGTAGCAACTTAATTACAACAAGCGCTAAATCATTTAAAAACTGATCCAAACAAATACTTAATGCGAAGAACACTTAAAAAAGATACACACCACAATTGTATTTTTCCTCCTTGAACATAATAGTTTTTTCTCCCCTTCTTTATTGTCTCAACGCATGCATGTGCCTGAGACCGTAAATATTTCCAACTAGTCTTGCTTATCCTCAAGCGGAGACGACAGCAAAAACGAATCGACATCAAATCCGTCTTCTGATTCATCACGTAGCATCTCATTGCTTGACCCCACCTCGTACTGTGAGCCTCCAAAGTCACCTGAGTCCGGAATTTGTACCTGAATCATATATCAATCATCAAATTTCAGTTCTCATTATGTTTCACATATTGACCTGGCATATGAAATATATGAACAATATACTTATCAGCAGCTCGAGAATTTTTCTACTTACTCCTGGAATCATATCATTTGCTTGATTTTCATAGCCGGCAGCGATACTGGCATTTGCCTTCCTTGTACCATGAACCATCTCATCCGTTTTTTCTTTTGGTTTCTTCTCGGATTTTCTCGTTAACTTGCATACAACATAAATTCCCTGCGACACGGAAGAATAACCAGGCACTTGTTTGTCGGAACCAGATATAATCCGGAAGAAACGATTATACACAAAATGTTCTCCACATGAAAATTGGTGATAAACATTTAGTCACCAATTAGTTAAGTTTCCGTATTCTCCTAGATATAAGCAAACAAAGAATAGAAGCTTACCTGGTTTGGAGGAAAAAGGTCATATTCATGAATGATCCAATTACTTTTGGTGCGTCCTTGGTAGAAAACCAGACTCTTCTTGGTCCCAATAACGTTGTTGGTGGCAAGATCCCTGATTTTTCTGTCTTGACCGGTCACTTTCCAGTAGCCACTCGATGTTGCCCTATTACACCGATTGCTATTAGGGTACTTGTAATCGCGAGGACTGAAGAAATACCATTCTGGTTCGCCCGACTTGTTCAGTGAAAACGATGAAACAACAGCTGTTGGATAAGAAGAAGAAGAAGAAGCAAGATCAAACGGCAGAGCATCATAAGATGATTGAAGCATAAATAATAATGTTACAGTAAAACAGGTATTGGTTTGCAGAAGAATAAGATGAAGGGTTTGGATTATGAGACCTGGTAATTCCCCGGGTTCGAAATTGCAAACATCAATCTCAGGGATGGTCTCGTGGATGGAGGGATCATCAGCCATCAATTTGTGCCGGAGGTAGTGACCGACGAGCTCGTCATCGGTGGGGCAGAATCTGTACCCCAACGGCATATCTTGCTGCATAAGAGCTGGGTCCGCCATGGCTGACTAACAACTATAACCTGATGAGCTTATCAAAGGGCAAGCGGACAGCTTGAGGAAGACGAAACCTAGAGAGAGAGAGAGAGTGGCGTCGTTGTTTGTTCAGGAACGACAATGGAAGGCAATACTCTAAAAGTTGGTCACTCTAAGCAAAACTCGCATCGCCATTTAAAGAGGGGGAGTGAAATTCGAATTAAAATAAATAAAAATGATGCAGATATTTGAAACTGTATAATTTCAGTATTATACATAGAGGTTATATAAAATGGGAGTGACTAACAGATATATTGTTGTGAAGGATGAAGCTCAAAAATTAAATAAATGGCACGACATGAAAGAATAATTTGTGGCGTCTTGGATAATCTTAGTAACTTCGGGCGTAAGGAGGGGCAAGTGGATGACGTCATGCATGCAAACGACGATGCGTAGGAGGACTCGTAATGTTTGGACACGTAATCAACTGTGGGACCTACCAACAAATAACCGTGTCCGTACAGGTCAAGACCAGCGTAAGCGGAGAGAGAAAGAGAAGCGAAATCCTTTTTCTGAGTTGAGGGCTCCCTCCTTCCTCATTCCTTCCTCCTTTCGAATTTTCATTGCACAATTGCGACTTTTTTTCTTTTCTTTTTCCCCGCTTCCCCCCCGTTTCCGTTGCGATTCTAAATCAGCTTTCTCTCTTTTAATCATCATCGAATCTCACGCGTTTTTCTCTGCATAGTACAGTTTGAAAGACCAGTCGTATTCTTTTGTCAAAACCAAGCATCTATATCAGATTTCTTATTCGTCATTCGTGTAACAAATTAATGAAGCTTTCCATCTTATTCCTGCATCTACGCTTTTGCTCTTCTTTGCAAGCACCATTTTCGGGCAAGTTTCAGTAAACGCAGGATCAATCGAAATAATTCTGAGATGTGTAAATTCAGCTGACCTTGCAAAAATTTCCTTGACTAAAGGGTACGGTCTTTTGGAAAAGAAACAGAAACCAACGACGTATGATCTCAGTTGAATATTAATCGACATTGTTCATTTATTATTAAAAAAAAAAACAGCGAACAACAATTCAATGCCTTGGATAAATGTACTGAGATAAGCAGCTTATTTCAGTACATTACAATTCTCAACAGAATTTAAATAAGTCAACTATACAAAGATTTCCCTATAGGCCTATATCCACAAGGGAAAAAAATAATTTAGCCCCTTTAATTAACTTCATTTCATACATTATCATAGGCAAAAGCCTTAGACGAAAATAGCTAGGAAAGGGTCAACCCCTCCTTCATAACTAACACCCGCCAATAACGAAAGGCATCAATGGAATCTCCCACATGGTACCTCACACACACACACACAGAGAATAGCAAGGAAGGCTTGCATCCCAAGTTTGAAACTTTGAATATTCTGAATTTGTTGAAACATGGTAAGAGTCACTGGCCAAGTCTCTTCCTCTGTGTTAACCCCACCATGACCATCTATCCCATCGCAAAGTGCTTCTTCAGTAACGAATCTTTTTCGTCAGTTTCTCATGTTTTCACTTTTTATGTGGGGTTTGTTATGTCCCCCAATTCCTACCTTTACAAAGTTACCTTCTATACTCGCATCATTATGAGCCAGAAGTTCGCTGCGGGTAGATTTTCCTGATGACATCACATCCCAATAACCATATCCTTATGGTAAATTGAGAGAGGATTTGGATTTTAACTCAGCTAGCTAATTTATTTGAAGGGATCTCCTAGAAGATGACTGTTGGCAAAGAAGAGGACGAAATAGACAAATAGAAAAGCAAAGAAATAATAAACAAATGCTTTTTGTATTGCTTCTGACTTGGTGTAAAATGACAGCATCACAGGTCCCTATATATAGGCTAAGAACAAATTGAATATCCCACGTATCTCGGTCCTCTAACCCACTAAGTTGTACACTATCACCTTACTTGAGAAAATAAAGGACTCTGGAGAAAATAAAGGACCACTAAATACATTACTAACAGCCTTGAGGATAAAACAAAAAAATAAATTAAACAAATAGAAACGTGGAGAAAAATACGAGCATCAGTTTTGAATTATTCTTCAACACTCCCCCTTAATTCAAAACTACAAACACCAAGTAATTCTCTGAAATAGCAGAACTTCTCTTTTGATAAAGCCTTGGTCAAAACATCAGCCAGCTGCTCTTGTGTGCTGCAATATTCCAATGCTATCTCCTTCTTTGCTACCAGATCACGAATGAAATGATAACGAATATCAATGTGCTTGGTTCTGCTGTGAAATGTTGGATTCTTTGTCATGGAGATAGTTGCCTTATTGTCACAAAATATCTCTGTTGGTCCCTTCTGTTGTTGTTGAAGATCTACAAGCACTCTTCTTAGCCAAATAGCTTGACAAGCTGTTGAAGTTGCTGCATAAAACTCAGCTTCTGAGGTTGACAATGCTACAGTAGCTTGTTTTTTTGAACTCCAGGTGATCACTCCTGAGCCTAGAGTGAAAACATTAGCTGAAATACTTTTTCTATCATTTAGTGAGCTTGCCCAATCACTATCTGTATACCCACACAACCTGAAATTAGAGACTTTAGAGTACCAAATGCCATACTCCAAAGTTCCAGCAATATAGCGTAAGACCCTCTTTGCAGCTCCATAATGAACAGTTGAAGGTTGCTGCATAAATCTAGAAATAACACTGACAGGAAATGCAATATCAGGTCTAGTGTGGGTTAGATAAATTAGACCTCCAACCAAGCTTCTGAATCTCCTTGCATCTGCCATCTCTCCTCCATCTTCTTGCTGTAATTTTTCATTTATATTCATGGGAGTAGCTGCAGGTTTGCAATTAAGCATGTGAAATTTATTGAGAAGGTCCCTGGCATATTTCTTTTGTGAAAGAAATATTCCATCTTTAGCTTGATAAACTTCAAGACCAAGGAAGTAATGTAGTAAGCCCATATCTGACATTTCAAACTCATTCATCATTTGAGACTTAAATTCATCCACAAGAGCAGTAGAGGAGCTACTATAAATGATATCATCAACATAAAGACAAATAATGATGAAATCATTACCTTCCTTCTTTACAAACAAGGTGGGTTCATTTTCACTTCTCATATACCCCTTTTTTTGAAAATATCCATCAATTCTGCTGTACCAAGCTCGAGGAGCTTGCTTCAAACCATACAAAGCCTTTTTCAACTTGTACACCTTTATTTCACTGCCTTCTTTTATAAAACCTTCTGGTTGTGCCACATAGACTTCTTCTTGTAAGTCTCCATTGAGGAACGCTGATTTGACATCAAATTGATAAACTGGCCATTGTAGTTGTGCAGCTAATGCTAGCACTAATCTCACAGTTTCAAACCGAGCTACTGGAGAGAAGGTTTCTTCAAAATCAACACCATATTGCTGTGCATAGCCTTTTGCCACAAGACGAGCTTTATGCTTTTGTAAGCTTCCATCTGCAGCAAACTTTGTCTTGAACACCCACTTTAAGCCAATTGCATTTTTACCATCTGGTAAGTCCACCATCTCCCATGTTCCATTCTTTTCAATAGACTTCATCTCTTCCACCATTGCTTTTTGCCATTCTTCCTTTTCAGTTGCTTCTTCATAGCTTAATGGATCTGAAACAGTAAGAGCAAATTGACAATTATATATGTCAGTACTATATTTGGGATTTGGCTTTTTGGTTCTTGTTGATCTTCTCAATGGAATTGGTGCAACAGAAGACTCTTCAAGAGTTGTTGAGGAAGAGTTTCTGCTAGATGAATCTGTTGTAAGTGGCTCTTGCCCTTCCTCTTGAGAAACTTCTATAGGAATCACTTGTTGCACTTGCTTAGCATTCCAATCCCACCTAGCACCTTCATTGAATACTACATCTCTGCTGATGGTAATTTTGCCACTTATGGGATTATATAGCTTATATGCTTTTGATTCAGAAGAATAACCAACAAAAATATGTTTTTCAGATTTCTCATCAAACTTTTGAGAGTAAGTTTTAATCAAAGCATAAGCTATACAACCAAAAATTTTGAAGTGGCTTACCGTTGGCTTTCTACCAGTCCAAGCTTCATATGGTGTTTGATTACGAACAGCTTTTGTGGGAGACAAATTGAGAAGGTAAACAGCTGTTGCAACTGCTTCTGCCCAAAAATAAGTAGGAAGTTCTTTCTCTTGCATCATACTTCTGGCCATCTCTACTACAGTACGATTTTTCCTTTCTGCCACACCATTTTGTTCTGGTGTATGTGGTGCTGTAAGCTCCCTACAAATTCCATTTTCATCACAAAAGTTCTTAAACCCAGTTGAGATAAATTCACCTCCTCTATCTGTTCGAAGTGTCTTTATTAAAAGACCACTTTTTCTTTCCACAAAAGCTTTGAACTTCTTGAACCTGTCAAAAGCTTCAGACTTGTTTTCTAAGAAGTAAACCCAAGACATACGACTACAATCATCTGTGAACAGTAAAAAAATACCTACTACCACCAAGAGATCCCATACTCATAGGTCCACACAAATCAGCATGCACTAATTCAAGACATTCAGAGGCTCTCCAAGCCTTACCAACAGGAAAAGATTTTTTACTTTGCTTTCCATAGACACATCCTTCACAAAAGTCAAGAGAATCAAGTTTTGGTAAACCATAAACCATTTCTTTTTGATTCAACAACTTCAAACCACTGATATTTAAATGCCCATATCGTAAATGCCATAGTCTAGTTTCATTATCACCACTAGCAGCCAAAGCATATTTTTCAAGCATTGAAACATCCAATGGAAACATTCTATTTTTGGCCATAGGAACTCTAACAATGATTTGCCCAGATTTCTTATCTCTAATAGTGCAACAATCATCATCAAACAGAATTGAATATCCACTACTCATTAATTGCCCAATACTAAGCAAATTATGAGATAGACTAGGAACATGCATCACATCCAGGACAATCTTAGCATTACCTTGATTGGTTTTAATGCTAACAGTACCTCTACCTTCAACTTGAATATGCTTGT